CCACGGGCTGGCGAGCTCCAGGCCTGGTGCTGAGAGGCAGAGACAGGGCTTTCCCTCCCGCGTTTCTTTCTCCCTTGCAGCCCCCAAGTTAGCTGGGAAGCGAGGGGTGCAGACACCGCCGCGCTGACCCTGCCGCAACTCCACACGGGGGTGACGGCGGAGATGCTCGGACCTGTCCGCACCGCTATGGTGACCAGCGCCCGCCACCAAGAGATGGGCCCCCCGACTCCAGGGATCCTGCAGGGCCCATCCCAACGTGCGAGAGGCCTGAACAAACGCACCCAACGCCCGCACGGTCCTTGGGCCGGTGACACCGGGCGGCAGCTAGGCGCCAGAACGAACCCTCGCAAAACAGACACACAAACGTCAACCAAATCACGTTTTTCACAGAGCAGCCATGAGCTTTCTGACCTCACAATCCTTATGTTCAAGGGAAGTCTGCCGAACACTTGTAAAAGGCAAGTTTCATAGTTGGTAGGGTCGGAAGGGATCTGAGCAGATCATCAAGTCCGACCCCCTGCCCTGGCCAGGAAAGAGCACTGGGGTCAAACGACCCCGGCTAGGTGATTATCTAGCCTCCTTTTGAAGCCCCCAGGGTAGGAGCCAGCACCACTTCCCTTGGAAGTTGGTTCCAGCTCCTAGCCACCCTGACTGTGAAGTAACGCCTCCCGATATCTAGCCTGAATCTACTCTCCGTCAACTTATGCCCGTTATTCCTCATTATTCCCAGTAGTGCTCAGGGGAACAGGGACTCTCCCATTGCCTGCTGGTCCCCCTTGGCCAATTTATAGATGGCCGCCAGATCCCCTCTCAGCCTTCTCTTGCGGAGGCTGAACAGGTTCAGGTTCCATGGCTTCCCCTCATAGGGCCTGCCCTGCTGCCCCCTGATCATGCAGGTGGCCCTCCTCTGGACCCTCTCAATGCTAGCCACATCCCTCCTGAAGTGCAGCGCCCAGACCTGGACACAGTACTCCAACTGCGGCCTGACCAAGTTTGGAAATAAAAATTCATAGCTTGGCTGGAGAATAAGAACCAAGGACTGAGCATTGATACTGACTTTATGGCACTCTGTAATCTACCTGATTCCTGAAATTCTTCTTTCACACTACAGGTGACAATGACCCTCCTCTTTTGATGGGTCTTGATCTCCCATTAATCAAGCATCTTTTCCTCTGCTAATTGTATGTCTGCTATCCTTGTGAATTTCTCCCTCCTCAAATTTCATAGCCCTACCCCCCTTTTTATTCATTGCTATGCCTGCTTCTTTCTTTAGACCTGATGAAGAGCATCTTGCATTCAAAAGTTTGTGTAACATTAATCTCAACTATGCAGTTGGTCCAATAAAAGATATCACCAAAACATATCCTGGCCCCTCACATAATTCCCGGACCATCAGGGCTACATCATCACTCCAACATAACCAGAAAAATGCACAGACATTCTTCAGTCCAGAGGCCATTCACTTAAAGGCAGTATACTCTAACTAAATTATATTTCTAAATTCACCAATGTAAATCTTACAAATGTTATAAAAGAAATCATGACAGGCAAAGGATTTTTTGTTGACTTGCTTGCTTGCTTCTTTTTTATGATATATTTTATTGGACCAACAGTACAGTTGGGAGAGATGTTGGACAAGCAAGCCTTCGTTCTAGCACAGCACACCTTTCTTCAGGTCTGAGCAATTTGTTCTGGAAGGCTTGTCCAACATCAAGTCCGCCCAGGGCAGGGGGTCAGACTTGATGATCTACTTAGGTCCCTTCTAACCCTCCATCTATGAATCTATGAACATCTCTCAACTACACAGTTGCCGCATCTCTCTCAACTACATAGACAACTACAACATGTCTGTACATTTCCCAGACTGTCACAACTACCACATCACTCCAACTTCTGTGACAAATTAGTCATTCAGAACTTTACTTGTTTAAACGAAAACAGAATTTGACCCATAAAATAATAATTGTTATTCAATCTCCAAAAGTCAGAGAATTTAAAGTTAAAATGCATGCACACACTTCCTTGACATTTTAGTTCCTTGACATTTAAGGTCACTGTCAAAACTACTGTTTTTCCCTTCCTCTCCTCTTTTAATAAACAGGTACATTAAGAATTTTTTTTTAATTGGTAAGACAACTAATTTTGTAGACCAAATTCTGCTTTCATCTACATCAGTTGCAAATCTTTCATTGATTTCAATGGAGTTACTCCAAACTTCTGTCTGAGAGCAGAATTCAGCTAAACCATACAGGCAGTGCACACAGTTGTAATAATTCATGGATGGTTATAAAATGTTTATTGTCCTATTTTATGGGCTGGAAAGATTCCTCTCCACAGTTCTGATCAAGAATTTAGAACAATCATAGCAGAAACAAAATGGAATTACTGATCTCAAGTTTTATCCCGAGTCTCAGCTTACTTGCAGACGACTTCAGTTACAATTCTGTAGCTTGCACGGCAGGTATATAGCTGAAATATAGCTGGAAGTTACCAACCTCAGTTCTATGCATCAGTGCTCTGACTTATCAAATTGTTCAAATGAGCTACTGGGAACTTCTTTTCTTAATGTTATATTAAGTAAAATACTGCTTTGCCTGCTTATTTGCAATGTTTGAATCTAGGGCTCAAATTTTTGGTTCAAAGCCAAAGCAGGACTGGTCCTTCAGGACCAACTGTTGTTGCAAAATTATTGCCCAGATGGTGGAAGTTTCTACAGATCAATTGTTATTGAGACATTTCTACCATTTCAAATGTGAGAAATCTCACAAAAAAGGTTTCTCATTATTGAATAAAAATCTTATCAGAAGAGTTGTTCCCAAAAGCTTAAGCTACTTCTCAAACAGGCATAGCATCTTTGCTACTTTCAAATTTGACCTTGACCTGTTATATCCACTCCCAAATACCCATCAGAAAGTTGAGCTGCTTAGTTTTGATGCTTCTAGCAAAGGCCATTCAAATTTTTAACATGGGGCAAAGAAGTCAGGTAGAGACAAACCATAACCTCCAACACATTCAAGCACTGTTATCTATTTTCTAAAAATTATTGTAGCAAACAGCTGGCCACTTCAAAAGTAGTGTTAGGGAATATATAAAAAAAGACCTATTTTCAACTCCGTAAAGCCTTGGGACCAAGGAAACTTTAACTTTCATCGTGATCTTGCTCCAAATGACAACATTCTCATTGACTTCACTTGGAGTTGGGGTCTTGTTTAGTTGGTTAAGATTACTTTGATAGGATTTTTAGATAAGCTTTCTTGTTCTAATCTGCTATAGTTAAATTAGCCTAGATTTTATGCAAGTATGTGATTCATTGTGATATATACTATATTTATCTCCCTTGTATCTGGACATTTTACAGATTTTTAAAAGGTACTAAAAGAAAGTTGTCCTTCTCTCTCCCCTCTCCCTGTGCATAGTAACAACCAGAACAAAGGATGCATCTTATATATAATTCTGAAAGCATTGTATTCTACTGATCTCTATTATGAGCAAGCTCCTTACATTCATACTTATAGGTCCACTCTTGTTCTTGACAGCTCCATAGCAGGGGTAGGCTACTGGGTTTGCACAAAGTGAGACAGTCTCAGCCAGTACTGCTGGTAACTTGGGAAGTGCTTATTCATGCCTGTTCAGAAAGTAGATTTGGAAGACTTATTCAGTACATAATATAATTCTTCCTACTTAAGGGAACAAGTTACAACATCACAAATCCTTTTATTGAGTTTATTCTTTTCCAGAAAGTCCTATTCATGCTTTTTTGAGCTTTGATCATTTTCCAGAACAAATGTCAGGATGGCACATGCCTCTTTTTTTTTTAAGCGATTGGATCATAGTTAAACTGTGCAAAATGGTACATGAAAAGCAGCCAAAGCCAACTGTCTTCACACTATTGCTGGAGAGTGGCAGGGGAAATACGAACAAGAGACAAAACAAGAGACAAGGAAAGACATTTAGATCCAGCTACGATAAGTCATTGCCCGAGCTCCCGCAAGGCTGATGCAGAAAAGCCATTATGTGCAAGCTCGTTAGTGGCATCATACAGATAAGGTCACGCGCAGATATCATTTTGTAGAATGAATGAATGGAATCCTGGGGTCTTCCAATAACAGAATATAATACAGTGACATTCCCAGCAATCATGACTAACAAGATACCTTAAATGAAGTTTCTCACTTGGATTAGCCACTCTGAAGCTATCATAAGATTTACATTTGAATAGTTTTTCATGATAATGCGGACAGCAAATAGACTTGTTTACTCTGCAAACTGATAGCTGACCCTATTATCATAGTATGCAGTTGAGTTTTTATTGTGCTTATGGCATTAGCCTTGTGAAAAAAAGACAATACAACCATGAAAAACTCTATATCCTAAACAAAAATAATTTATAATTACATAGATATAAGAAAATCAGTAAATGTACAGCATAACCACAAACTAAAGCCTATCTTCATTTCAGGGCATAAGTGAAACCTGAACTAAACTGCACTCCTGAGACTGTGTAACATAACATGCAGCAGTTCTTCATCTTTTTATTGTCTATGTTAGAGTATAATGGCTTACTAAAGAGAACATAATCATCATGAGCCACCATTTGGAGAATACTGCCCTGTTTCTCCATCTGTCCAATCTTGCAGGTCATGTTAAAGAAACAGAATATAATTTATTCCAAAAACCAAGGCAAAATCCTGGTCTCCATGAACACCCCACATAAGTTTGTGGACAAACCACAAATCTTGA